GCATGGAATTCACCAGAGCTCACAGGTTGCTTCAGGAATCCTCTCCCACTCCTCCATGATGACATCATGGAGCAGATGGATGTGAAGACACCTTACGCTCCTCCACCTTCAGCTTGAGGATGCCCCACAGGTGCACAGGTGAGTTTAGGGCTGGATACATACTTGGCCAGTCCATCACCTTCACCTTCAGCTTCCTCAGCAAGGCTGTTGTCATCTTCTATGTGTGTTTTGGGTCATTATCATGTTGGAAAACTGCATTGCTGCTTAGTTTCTGAAGAGGGTCGATCATGCTCTGCTTGGAATTCATGTTTCCCTAAATGAACCAAGCTCCCCAGAGCTGGCAGCACTCATGCAGCCCCAAACCATGATGCTGCCACCACTATACTTGACTGTAGGCATGGGACAGTTGTCTTGGTGCTCTTCACCAAGGTGCCATATATGCTGAAAGAGCACCAAGACAACTGTCCCATGCCTACAGTCAAGTATAATGGTGGCAGCATCATTCACTGTGGGGTGTACTCACTTATGTTGCCAGCTGTTTAGATGTTGATGGCTGTGTTTTGAGTAATTTTCAGAGGAAGGTAAATCTATACTACTATATAAGCTGTACACTGACTACTTTAAGTCATATCAAAGTGTCATTTCTGTAGTGTTGTCCCATGAAAAGATATAATGAAATATTTGCAAAAACGGGAGGGGTGTACTCACTTATGTGAGATACTGTATCTCAAAATAATGAGTTAGTATCTCAAAATAATGAGTCAGCATCTCAAAGATAATCACTTAGTGTCTCAAAACATGTTAGTCTCTTAAAATATTGAGGAACTCATAATCATGACTTAATTATCTCAAAATGATGACACTGTATCTAAAAATAATGACTCAGTACCGTTTCTCTTAATTTTGAAACAATAACTCATTATTTCGAGAAAACTTCTCATTATAATGAGTAACAGGATTTTTTCCCCATCACAGTGCTGGAAATGGACTTCCACAAAAAAACTGCGATAATTACTTGTATGTCTAAATACTGAATGTGGGTTTAAAATGGATAAAGAAAAGTGAACTGACCGGCCGTGCATCCCATCCAGCAGCACACTAATCATCTTCTTCAGGCGGTCAGACAGCGAGGACAGACCCTGGATAGGCCCTCCGATGGTGCTGTAGATAATGAGCAGCACCTCGTTCACCGCCTGACACCGCTGGAGCTGCAACTGAATCTCTCGCAGACGTGTCTCATCAGTCATCCAGGTCTAAAAATAATCAGTTTGGAAAATTAATTCACCCACATGAAATGTTTAATGATCATCAGGACACGTGACAGTATACACAAAATCAAAAACGCACTCACCTCAGGCAGTGGGCTCTTGTCGTACTCCCATGTAAGGATGCGTAGGAAGGCAGTGTTGAGGACCTGAAAGGGCCCAGGCACCAGTCGCTCTCCTTTCTCCAGACCGTCTTTGGGGGTAATGGCCAACAGCTCCTCCAGTGCTGACTTGATCCACGAGGTGGTGTGCTTCAAAGCATCTGAAGAGGTTTATCACAGGAATACCGGTTGAGGAGTTTGTTCTTAAAAGGGACAGTTTGAGTCTTTTGAAGTGGGGTTGTATGAGGTTCTTATCGATAGTCAGTGATGTCAGTCAGTATGAAGAAGCAGACAGGAGTACCACCACGAAGGGTGCGCAATGTCCTGCTGTGGACGGGGGGAGCTACAAAGCATATTTTACCGAAACTAAAAACATAAGTCAGTTCAAGTGCACACTATATTTAGAACATTTTCACCACTTCACCTTGCCGTCATACAGCCCTTTCAGATGGGAAACTGAAGCCGTTGCTGTCACTGTCACTGTCCACAGCCGCACATTGCTGAGCTTCTGTGGCGGTACTTCTGTCTGCTTCTCCAAACTCGGAGTGTGCCGACACCGATAGTCAGTGTGCTATGTACAGTAGATGGTCGTACCTTATAAAATCTGAACTGTCCCTTTCAAACACTTTTTGACTATAAACTAGAATGGCCTGAGATCATTAGTTGATTCCACTGACCAAATATCTGACTTAAGTACATTTCACCTCACACAGCAGATTACACATTTTGTGAAGACCTGGCAACAGAAATGATAAAACACACAGAATTACAGGCTTTAGAGAAAGTCGTGTACTTGTTCACTGACTGGGTGTTTTGTCCAGGATGCTCTGAAACGTTGCCCTCTCATATTCGACACCCTGCCTCTGCAGCACAGGCCTCATAATATTGATCGTTAAGTTGACTACGTCCGCTTTCATCAGGTCCAGCACACGGAAGATCTCCCTGGTGTGAAAAAAAAGCCACTTTTATTAAAATGCTCCTTAAAAAAAATAGCTAAATGAGAGAACTCTCTCAATATAATTTTCTTGTGCTGTTTTTAGATGCCTTTCACAAGTATTTAAATACTTTAAACCTATTGTGTGTATTTACCTGAACAGTGTCACGATGTTATCTGAGCTTTCGCGCAGCTTCTTGATTTCCTCGTCCCTAATCGGTGCGCACATCTTGCCCATGGTGGTGATGATGTAAGAAGCAAGCCCTTGGATGTCTACAGCGTCGTTGTCAGCCTGCTGACGAATCAGGTCCATGTCCAGCACCTCCATAATCTGGGTCCGCATCCGATTGGCGCCCGGATTAAGGAATGACAATAAAATCTGTCCAAAGAGGAAAATGACAATGAGTTCATTGTTGTTCTTCTACGTATACCGGTCACAGTAAAGGTAATGGTCATAAAGAGAAGCAGATACTGAAGGATCTTTAACGGTTATGTTATGTCTAGTGACGCTGTTAACATCACATCACATCACATCATGCTGTGTGTGCTGACCTCTCTGATCTCCTCCAGTAATCTGATGGCTTGTCCATACTCAGGCGGGTCATCGTTCAGCTCGGACTCCAGGATGTCCCAGAAGGCCTTGTGGAGGTTATCTCTGACTGCCTTCCATAAGCTAGGGGAAAAAAAGCGATGAAAGATTTAGTTTAGTGGAGTCAATCATCCTCTAGGAGCACGGTTACGGTTGTAGCACGGCTAGGTCCATTAGCCTCACCCTCTGCACTTTTTCTGGTGGTTTCTTCTTAGGTGGACACTGTGTCAGAGTCTTTTGCTGAAGTTACAAACAATCCATCGTGACTCACAAGAATGTCTGTACACTGAATCACGAAACAGGTAATTAGCCAGTATGTTTAAATAGTATGTAAATGTTAGCTTAGTGGTTCACCTCGCCAATATGGATAGGTGCCGCACGGTGATTTAGAATTAGCTAGCTCACATGATTGCACAAGAATTCATAAGTAACAGTTAGTTTTGTAAAATTGGACAATTTATATTAGCTAATAATATGTTGGATTCACTTTTTAAAGTGTATTTTCAGACATATTTTCATAAAAAAAAGAGAACATAACTTTAATTGTCAAACAAGAATTTGGAGGACCCCTCAAGTAACCCTGAGGAACCCCTTAGGGCCATGGACCCCCTGTTTAAGACCCAGGTGCTGGATAACTGACATCATATTAAGAATTATTATTTAAAAAAATGTCACTACTTTTGTTGAGCATGGAAAATAATTTTGAATTGCTGCAGTTTTTCATGTGAAAGAAGGTTATGTTAAATGTTATATGTAGATATGTAGACTAAAGTGTTTTATATTACTTTGCATTTCATTTTGAATTATTTCATCTCTTTAGCTGAAGTCATTAAACTATGAAGTAGCTAAATAAACTTTACAGACAGTGTCACAATGGCTGGGTCATGCCAGGCAGTCATAGACAAGCCCCTACATTATATCCCTGTTGGTGTATTTAAACATGTGACTGATGCTGTTTGTGTTTATCAGAGGCTGTCATGAGTTTTGAAGCTGTTCTCGACTTGTTTAATAAGTCGTCAGTGTTTTGGTTTCAGTCGCTTGATGTCTGGGAGCAAATAATGGGGTCTCTTTGGATTTCCGCTGTCTCACATTGCTTTGAAAACTCACACATCAGTGTTTCAAGTTTCTGTTTGATGACAACTGTTCTCCTCCAGGAGGTGCACACAAAATTGTCAGTCCTGTGAAACTCTATATTCTATACAAAGTACAGACACAACAAGCAGCTTGCTTTCTTTCAGGGAAAATATGTCTAAACTAAGATAATAATAGAGTGTGGAAAGTGTGAGACAACAGCACACACATAGATGGTTTAAAAACGTGGACATAGCCACTGTGACGTCACCCAGTGGTTTGCTGCCTTGAGTTTGGCAATTTGGCTTTGCTTATTTTGGAGCCAGAAATGACCCTATTTGGACGAGAGGGTGGAGCTGTGGAGGAGCGAGGGGTGACTCTGACTGAGAAGCCGAGGACACCGCTGTGGTAGCAACTTCTCAATCCCAAGGTAGCCTTGCCTAAAGCATATCCTGCTTTATCATGTATTTTACTCTAAATGGGACCATTATTTACAAAATGAACATCATGCTGTACTGAAGAAGACTTGAAACTAGAGATTGAGACCATAAACTCAACAGAAAAATGTTCACTGAGGTAATAAATCAAGTGAGAAGTAGGGTCATTTCTCAAAGACTTCTACATAATCAAACTTCTTTTTATACCAGTGGGGTCGCTCCCTGCTGGCCATTAGAAAGAATGCAGGTTAAAGCAGTTCCACATTGGCTTCACTTTTATAGACCCGGAGGCTACATCGACATAAATACTGCAAAACTTGAATTAATCACAGAAAAATTAACGCGTCAAAGAAATTAACGCTGAAACCTAAGATCTTTTTCAAAGTATACCTGTCCTGAGGTAGGCTGTCTGTCTCTACATGGAAATTGTGGTTCACAATGATCTCTCGGGCCAAGCTGAGATTGGACAGGTCTCTGGCAGACTCCATGACTTCATCCAGGGTTAAGGTTTTGGGTGGGCTTGCTGTGGGAACCAGATAGCAAACAAGCTTTGTCAATAGATGAATTAGAGTTAAAACAAAAAAAGCAGGAACATTAAATTGACCGTTGAAGTTGCATGGTGACGGTTGTGAGGTTTCTGCAAGGCTCTGACACCTCAACTTCAAAAATACTTTTGCTGTAAATTGTTTTGTTAAGTCAAATTGCTTTTTTAAATTGGTTTTCCCTGTCTTGGGCTTTGAGTGAATTACAAATATTAATTCTCAAAGTTTAGTCAGTCATTTTTCTGAAAAAGGAAAACAATCATGGATACAAAGATGAATGCGGTGAGTCAGAGGCCGTCTAGTGATCTTATACAAAGACCACAAAAAGGGCGGGGGGGACAAACTCACAGGAGGGCGTGCAATGCTTGCTGGAGGTGTCGCTGGTGAAGCTTTCACGGGAACAGTCCAGGTCGCTGGTTGAAGTCATGCTGTCACAGCGCTCCGACGACGACTCCACATCGCTGCCTTGGTCCTCACCGCTGGATGTGGAGGTGGGTCGCTCATCGTTTAGAGGCATCTTGGGTTATAGCTGCACATGAGAAGTTGGTTAGCTTGTTGACCACAACTTCAACAGAAGGATTTCTTAACACTTTGTCTGACTGAACCTACTCAGCAAATCACAAGTTGATGGATCAAAGTACTTTCACAGAAACACAGCAACAGGCTTGGAATTTAAGTGGAAAGATTATCATTCCTCCTTTTGTTTGGGAGCTGCTGTTCTTTGTAGTTCCTCACAGAAACATCTGACATTTGACATCTGGTGATGTTCTGCATTAGTCTATTAGCAACAAATTTCATGGAAAGACCAAAACAAACAATCAGTTCTTCTATCAAGTATTGTCTGTCGCCAAAGCCAGATATATCTTTCTGTCAGTGGCAGAGGCCACCTTTGCTGTCCAAAAAAAAACTTTAAAAACGAAAAAATGTGCCACACTGACCAAACATACACCATCATGGTGCCATAGATATTCAATTTAAAAAAAGTGTATTATTCCACATGTAAAAATTGTTTAAGTTTAATTAAAACTACAGTACTAGTAGTTGTTTTAGTGGATTACTTTGCCCCTTTTTTAAATGTAATGTCACTATATACTCATAATGTGCTCATTTTAAAGGTCCAACATTGTAAAAAAAAAAAAAAAAAAAAAAAAAATCAATTCATTGAGAAATGCACACAGTCCATATTCAGAAACTGTGCCTTTAAACGAGCCCTTAAGACTTCTGTGAAGTTGTGATGTCACAACTACACTACAGACCTAAACACAATGGTTATTTACAATAACTTGCAGGTAAAAAAAACAAGGAAACTATAGCGGTTAAGCCTAAACTCAAAGCCACTGAGGGGCTGCATTGACAGGCTACCTATTAATTAATGCACTCGCCTGACCAGACTGATTGCTGCTGATCATGCAAAAACAAAGTCCATTTCTTCTTCTTCTTTGATGTGCAATTTATTTCTCACCGTTAGAGTCGTCAATGAAAATCATGCAAACAACCATGAATCTGTGTCCATAAACCATTCAAAAGGTACACATTTTCAACAACAGAATAACAACAGAAATAGACAAGTCTGCCAATTTCTACGGTTACAGCTTGACTAGGCTATCTAATTGGACTACTGTCCTTGACCCAATATACAAGCAGGGGAAGGGAGTCCATTTATTGACTGAAGTACGTCTGACTCCACTATGATGAGTAGCGATATGCCCCCTTTTAGTTTATTAGTGTTGGACCTTTTTCCGGTTGACCTATTACGTCACAGACCAAACAATCGACAAGTTTGCTATGGCTAGCAAGCGGCAAACTGGTACCATGGTGGACAACGTTACAGCTCTGTACGTGCTGTATGCTTTACTTTTTATTTTATTTTCTTCTGATGCACATTTAATGCTATTCGACTTCTGGGTCAAAGCCTGGGGCAGAAACTATGGAGCCTGTGCAGAGCACCCAGGGTTTGGGTCAGATTGCCTGTATACATGCAGGAGCACTTCAACTCCCAATCACATTATCTGGGTGTGTTTTAGTATTTTAAAAGTGCGGCTTTAGTCAGACTAACACAATTAATCAGTTTTCTCTTGTGTCATGTAAACGTACTGAGTTATTCTGTCTACAAAGGTGGAAGAGATGTCAAGAGCACAGATGCAAAAGAACCCAGAAATGCTGACCAACTATCTCAGACTGGACTTTTCTGGATGGGGTCTTAAAGAGACAGGCACTAAAACGGAGCGTTTCAGACAGACGGTGAATACAGGTACATTCAGGTAGACAGTATGATGACAATAAAGTGCTTTTTGAAGATTAAACCACGTGAACATGCTCTAGTGGAGAGACAAAATAGATAATGAGCATAACATGGGACCTTTAACGTTTATATCTTCAGTAGGAAAAAAGGGCTTGGGGTTGGGAGCCAAAGACAGAGGGTATTGAGAGACAGATTTACTGTCAATAACAAAACTATCAGCTGCCATGTCCTTTAAAGGGGATGTCTAAAATTTAATTCACTACGAAGAAAACAAAAAGTCTTCACAGTAGTTTTACCTGTGCTTGGAGAAAGCGTGTGTCGCTGTCAGTGTGTGAGAGAGCATTTATTTTTCACTTTAGCAGCAGTAGCTGTTGCTAAGGCAGTTAATATGTTGTAATAAAAACACCAGTCACACTCAATAAAACAGCTGGCAGGCCAGTCTCCATGGAAACAGAGATAGCTGCCGTGTTGCACAATTCTGAGTATCAACATCTTGATCTGATGGTGTATGAAGCAATCTTTGTAAAAACGCTTTATGATTCAGTGTGTGTTTACTGCCACACACTCTCCGAAGTCAGGACACAAACAGAAGCAACTTCCATGACTAGGTTTAAACAAAGCTTATATTGCTCGAGGACAAAAGGGACGCTGTGTCCAGGCCTATCTGAGATCATTTGTGTCTCCAGGGCAACATGGGACAACAGAGGGCTTCTCAACTGCCGCAACGATCCTGTTACACCTGTCCCTTTGTTGTCTGTCCTCTACGCAAATATGAACACTTTAGAATAAGACAGAAAAGACACTATTTGTAAGATACATACGAGCTAAAGCCAAACATTACTGTGGAAGTTGTGTGCATGTTCTCGCATAACAAACACATACATGCTTGTTAAATAAAAACACAAAATCTTCTTCTTCTTCTGCATCTTGTTTACTGTAACACCTCCAGTTAAGTAGGCCTTTGCCCTTCTAATATTATCTTACAGCACTGTATCAGACATACAGTGCTGGCAGGGTGACCCTTGGGTGTTCCTGTCCCTGGTCTCAGTTATCTGCTGCCAAAAATGAGTGCACACCCCCTCTCGCTTCTCTTTTGGTTTAAAGATAGCTCAAGGGGTGAGGGTGGGTGCGGGGAGCGTGTGTGTGACTTCCATGTTCCCCTCGCTCATTCATTACATCATCTGCTAGACTTGACAGCTAGGTCACACCAATGCAGCAGGCCAATTTTCAGAGATTATCCAGAGTGATGGGAGCAGTGCAGTCCAGAAAACTGATTACGGATTACGGTCTACTCTGTCATCTGCTGCTTCATCATAAGAAATCCTCTTAAAGTAGTCTGCATACTAGATAGAGTTAAGGTAAAAGGCAGTATGCAAAAAACAGAGACATAAAACATAAACATGTAGGGATTAAAATAATTAGATTGTTTCTTTAACCACACCATACAGCACAGGAATTCAATGTGCTGGTAACAATATATCTGCCTCTATGACTTGCCCAGGTGTTTCTGATCAATGCATGAGGTGCACATAGGCCACATACTGTTACAGTAACTCATGCAGAAACAAAGACAGCCTTCTGGGATCCAGATTCTGCTGCAGTACAATGTAAACAAAGCAGTGGATCACGGAGGCTGGGCTAACTGCACAGGGACTCTCGTCATTGGCTGCAGCTGCCTGTCTCTCACCCTGAATGGAAAGTCTTTGGTTACACAGCCGTGCACATGGAAAAAAAATTATCCACACACGCGTAAGAAGTGGGTACACGTGATCTGAGCAGCAGACCAAAACAAGAACCCCATGCACATTTAATATAGTAGATTTTGTGTCTATATAAACACCAGGCCCTGAACAAGAAGTACAGTAAGACAAAGTGCATTAGGATCTGACATCAGGTGACGTGTGCAGCAGAGACGTCAAATTCACGACAGTTGTTTACATGATAGCTAAACGACAGGCTTTCTTACTTAATAAAACGCTCTGACTTTAACAGCCGAGTATAAATCATGACATTGGTTAATTTTACACAGCAGCTACACTTTGACATTAGCGTGCTAGTCGGATCCTTCGACGACTGTACCCAAGTTTCCGCTTCACAACAAAGCCAAACTCAAAGCTAAGAAAAAAAAGTTGCTAACACAACAAGCCGAGTGATTCACGATGTAAAACAGAATAAAATGAGCTAGTTAAAAGCGACTTTTACCTCATTCAAGTCTCCGGAAGCGGAGACCCAAAATAGCTCAACTCTGAAGGGAAGACTCGTCGTCGTCCTGAAACGCTCGTGGCTCTGTTTAAAGGTCCTTGTTACCCCAGCTGGCTCTTAGGACAAACAGGCGAAACCATTTCATACATAGGGGGCATCAACGGTTGAAGAAAAGCAAACACAAGGTTTATAATCGAATATTCGAGTGTTTCGATAACAAAATATAGGTTTTAAAGTAGTATACAGACAAGTAAATGCACATATCTAGCCCACGAAAGGCAATTTGATATATATTTTTAAAGATTTTTTCCGCGCCGCACCACCCTTGGCAGAAATGGTACGCTCCGCTGTTCTTCTTCACGTGGGCCGTCTTTGTTTACGGATGTGACCTCAGTGGGTTCACAGCAGTGTAAGTAAGTCATGTCTGTTTGAAGCACATTGTGGGGACTCAGCCAGCATTCAAAGTGAAATAAAATAAAATAAAATAAAAATAAAATAGATAAATAAATAAATAAATTAAATTAAATTAAAATTCTAATAATGATAACAATAATTATAAGAATAACAATAAATTATTATTATCATTATCATTGCTGGCGGTGATGATGGTGGCGGTATTGTTATTATATTATTTTTTATATAATCATATGATACAATAATAATAATAATTTAATTCAGACTTCATTGCAGATTCACAAGGGTCCATAGCATTGAGAGAAATAGAAGAAAATGTTTGAAATGTTTTTTTTGTCACAAAATATTTTAACTAACCACAGTTTAAAGACATTTTCAAAAAACGTTTTTTGTTGTGGGGGTGGTACACTTTTGGGTGCAACACTGTTTAAAATTCTAACACATGTTTATGCAATACTCATACATTAAAAAACATTTTAAAAAATTACTCTAAGTTTGTTTGTCTGAATGTTACCCTCAGACAACATTGTACCACTGTGGAACAACCCATGAATTCCTTACAGAGTGTAAGCATATTTCAGCAAACTTTACGTAAACAATTTATCCAATCAAACCACCATAACCCTCTGCAAAGCAAGATAGTAAGTTATATTTCAGTGTTTGATCCTTTGTTTTACATTTAAGAGCCTGTTTCTGTTTCCTGGTGTGTGGGTACCCAATCAATCTCGTTGTAACATCTGTGACAATGGCAATAAAGGAATTCTGATTCTGATTCTGATTCCTGACAGATTGTATGTTGCCACCATTTGCTGTGTTGCTGTTAGGCTGCTAGTCGCTTGTTGTCTTTCAAACTTCTGAATCCTGACTCATACTCACTAAAACACACTAACATCAACTGGGAGGGCTAATTTTACCTCCTTCTTCTTTGAAGAATCATGGAAAAATATTGCATTCATTGTGCAAATAGAAGAAAAATGTGTGTAAAATTAAACCATAGTATGTTTTGCAGAGAGGACCAAAATAGTGCACTGTTAAAGTAGAAATTAACATTATTAAATGTGTGTAGGTATATTTAAAAACTAATAAAATGAAAGATTATGATGACTGTTATGCATTTGAACAGAATATAAACCTATATACACAATACCAAAAACTGTCATGGTAGTATTCCATAAATGCATGATGTTGCTTCAAGGCAACATTTACATTTTAACAACTTTCTATGACTGAATTATCAAATAAAGTACATTAAACAATTAAAGGTTCAACTTTAAGCATCTATTAATGTGAATCATTTTTTTTCCAGATTGTGAAATGACAATTTTTTGTGGTGAGAGTATATGTGTTATATTTATATGTTTATTAAGGATGTATCGTGTGAGTGCTGTGGCTCAGGAGGTACAGAGAGTCGTCCACTAAACTGATGATCAGCAGTTTAATCCCCAGTTCCTCCAGTCCACATGATGATGTGTTCTTAGACAAGACACTGAACCCCACATTGCTCCCAATGGCTGTGCTGTTGGTGAATGAATGCATATGAATATTTACTTTGACTGAGCAGTAGGTGGCACCTTACACCGTAGTCTTGACCACCAGTGTTTGAACATGTGTTACAGGGTGAATGTGATAAATAAAGCACTTTGAGTGGTCAGACATCCAGCAAGGCACTACACAAGTACAACTCTATCCATTTACCATAATTATTTCAGTTCAAACTTTATTTCAGACTCACAAGAGGGTCCGTAGAAATTTATAAAAGAAGAAAATAAGACATACATGACATACAAAATAAACCATCTTCATCTTTCAATAATATAAAAAACAGCTGTAAGCAATCTTGCCAATGTTGTCTAGACTCTGACTCATCCAAGAGACACATAAAATTGTACATCAGATGACTTAGACATGCCTCGCTTGTAGGAACACCAGAAAATGCATACAGTTGACTGGTTGGCACTATGCCATCTGGGAACCTTAAGCATCAACCTCACTGCATCATTGCAAGCCACTATAAGCCTCTGCATATGGCTTTTCCTGTAGCTCTAAATCATGAACATTTTACATCGACAGAACAGAAACCTGTGAAAGCAACATATTGGCCTAAACATATAGTTTACAATAATGTTTGTGAATTTCTCTGTTATCATTCAAATTGTCAGTGAGAAAAAGGCCAAGTTATTTTATTTCCTTGTGTGTCAAGAGAGGAACATTGCACATAATGTCCAACCCAATCGTCAGAAAAAATAATGGCATTGTACGTATCTGCAGACCATGGATGCATTACATTTGCATGTTATTAGGACTATGTAGCGGATACATTGAAAATTTACATTTCAACAACGCTGTGGTAAATGTGTGGTTAGGTTTAGGTGCAAAATCACTCAGTTATGGTTAGGAAAATCTCATGTTTTGGCTGAAAATATCCTGGTCCGGGGTGCTAAAGCAACAATCGCTTTTCACGGTACTCTCCCCGCTGGAAAAACAGCAACAGGGAACTACAAAATACCTATGTTTAGTGCCATGAAAAACCACTGGAAAAACAGCAAGTGGCGCAACAAAACACCCACATTTGGTGCCTACAAAGGTGTTGAATATACAGTGACGAGGCGCAACAAAACACCCACGTCTGGTGCCTGAAAAGATGCTGGAAACACAGTGACGGGTCTCTACAAAATGCGCAGGTTTAGTGCCTAATTATCTGCTGCAAACACAGCACTGGGTGGCTACGAAACACCCACGTTTGATCTCTGAAAAGCTGCTAGAAACACAGCAATGACGTTCAACAAAACACCCATATTTAGTGCCTGAAAATCCACTGGAAAAACAGTGTTGGGTTGCTACAAAACACCCACATTTGATGCCTAAAAGTCTGCTGGAAACACAGTGATGGGTCATTTCAAAACACCTGTATGTGGTGCCTAAAAAGCCACTGAAAACGTAGTGATGGGTCTTTACAAAACACCCATGTTTGGTGGTTAATAAACTGCTGGAAAAACAGTGATGGTTTGCTACAAAAGGCATCTTGCCCAGGTGTCATGCCATCCACCTTCACCCCCACCTCCTAATGACAAAGTCACTCATATACTACGTCCCTTTTCAAATGATTAGGCGATATGTATAAAACATGCAAATGTAATGTATTAAGTGATCAACCATTCCACATTGACGAACACCATTATTTCCATGAAACAAGTCAGATACAACATTGTCCCTTCCAACCCTGGAGTAGTTTATAAGTATATAATTTGATACACAGGAAAAAATATAGAAAATAAACATTAAAAAAACAGAAAAAACTCAGGATTAATCCTTTCGAAGGATTGGATGCATCAATAAAACACATAAATACAGTATAATTTCAGCTGCCATATTTAACAGCTATTTCCTTTAGAGCAGTGCCATGTTTCCTTTAAAAGCCAAACTGATTATCAGTTGTGAGAACAAACATTTCCAACCCTGAGAAGAATTCTTTCCAGCACTTTAGAGAGAATACTGGCAAGGGCAGTAAGTCCAGTTGTACTTTTTAGTTTACCAGCCTTGTCCTTAATGACAGGCACTAACAGTACAGAGGTGACAGAATCCGGAAGAACACCGTGAACCATAACACCAGTAAAGCACCTGACAAACTGAGGACAAAGCCTGTGATTGGCATTCTGTAGGTGATCTTAAGGTTAAATTTATAATAAAAATGATAACAACAATCCTACACCACAAAGCACAATGGAAAGTAGTGCATTTACCTTCAAATGAAACTCTGTGACTGCATAGTATTGTATTGTATTGTATCGTATGGGGGAGATTGCATTGAAGAGTTTTTATGCTGGCGGCCACTAGATGGAGCTAGGGATGTATTACAGGATGCGTCTTTGTTATATGATGTTAAACATGTGGACCATTAGTCCCAGTAATGAACTGTATTTAAATTACAGTACATATTTGACAAATCAGAATGCATAGAGTGGACAGAAGTTGGATGTATTGCAATTTTCAAAAGGAAACTTTAGATACATTTTTGCAAGACAAATGGTCTGTTCAGTGTAAAATTAAGTTTTAATTACAATTTCCCACAAAACATGCCAATTTGTTACAAATAAAGAAATACAGGGACAAAAAAAACAAAATTCCCATTTGGTAAACATTCTGTGATGGAAAACTAACAGTATTTATTGTTCTTCTCTTTGTTCTTTATTCGTCAGAACTTGTTGATCTTGTAGAGACAAAGATGACGATTGCATAGATAGACATGGGAGAAGAATGCTGATACTGGAGGAGATCCTGTTCAAGATCCTGTGGCCATATTTTAAGGTGTTTGGATGTTTCTATGTGACTATTTATTGGGTCTTTTTAGTTCTGTTTTTTTTTTTTAAATTGTAGTTTCTTCCAACACCCCATCTGGGCCCCTCTGAGTCTACATAACAGATGAGAAAATCAGGTTTTTCCTTCCTAAAAACTGGATAAACTGGTCAACATTCTTTTTCTCATGAAACAAAGTACACTGTTTGTGCAAAAGAAAGGAATGTCCCTGATAGTACAAAAAACTACCTATAGCAGTTGTACGGTAAATCATTGACTTGTGTTGGCTATAAAATGCAGTTTATTGGCTGCTTGCAAATAATTAAATCCTGTGCTAGCTGCTCCAAAAACAGGAAGAAAGCAGGAGAACAAGCTTGTATCAGAGGACTGGGCTGGCAAGACGTA